GACTTGAACCGGGGTTGGCCTGGTTGTAGTGCCTAGCACCTTACCCACCACACCACCTGCCAGCCTCAGCATGCCTAAAATTCTGAGAGGATGGAGAAATGGAGGAAAAGGGATTATGGAGCAACAATGCCCCACTGGGGGGGGAGTGCTTTCTCGCTCCCCTTCTTTCTCTCTCTGTCTCTTTCTGTCTTTCTGGGGCTAAGGGAACTGGATCCCACACGGCCAACAGCACGGTTCAAATCCAGGACTTAGTGACTTGAACAACATGCCAGTGTGTGCGTGCACCCCCAAAATCCTGAAAAAAGGGAGAATTGGAAGAAAAGAGAAAGGACTGCAGTGTGATCATGCCCCATTGGGAAGTGTTTTCCATCTCCCATTTCCTCCAGTGAATGCCTGTGCCCTCTAGCAAAAGTTAAAAATTAAATAAAATAAAAAATGAAAAAATGAGGTATAATTAAATGTATAGAAGGGAAGAGTATACATGTTCTCTGGCCAAAATACAATGAACCAAAGCCCAGTTTTATAAGATACAGTTACTGGGGCCAACAGTTGGCATAATGGCTATGTTGCTGGACTCCCATGTAGTCGACTGTGGTTCGAGGTCCAGACCTGGTGGCTTAAACTCATGCCAGGTGTGTGTGTGTGTGCGTCCCCGGGATCTATATATATATATATATATGATACAGTTACTAATGGTGGGTGTGGGTGTGCGTGCGTGTGTGTGTGAAACTGTAGGGGGATAAAAAGTAAAGCTATAGGTCGAGAGTCAGGGCTAACCCTCCTTCCAGCCTTCCCAGTAACACTCACTGGAGTTACAGGCCAAGTGGCAGGCACCGTCATCTCCATGTCTCCAGAGAAGAAAACAGTGAAAGGCCTACTCACAACTAACCAAAGACAGGAGGCCAGACCCAAGGGGTCAATATTTTTCTTTGTGTTCACAGCATATTAGAAGGGAGGGTAGGGGATACATGAATCAATACCAGCATACCAGCAACCTCTACAATGATTTTTTTTTTTTCAGAGAGGTTTTTGCTACAGGGCCTGTGCGCTCACCAGAAAGACAGAGAGACAGAAAGTGAGAAATCACCCCCCGGGGGGATGGCCACGCCGCAATCCTTTCTCCTCCTTTCTCCCTTCGGGATCTTGGGCACGCACGCACACGCGCCCAGCGTGAGTTTAAGCCACTGGGTCTGACACTTGAACCATGGTCAACTACATGGGAATTCAGCGACATAGCCATTACGCTAACTGCTGGTCCCAAACTCTACAATTTTGATCTAGCTCAAAAAGTTAGGCAGGGCCCACTGTAGTGGCACAGGTGAGAAGGGGCCTATGGGAGACTGGGATTGAGGTCTTAAGCCAGCCTAAACTCACTGGTGTGGGCCAGTGTGTCTGTGACCCTTCCTGGCTGGCTGGAGGTGGCAGGGGATTGTGATGGGATGAGACCCTGTCAAGTGTGCCTGTCTCTCTCTCTCATGAAAGGAAGAAACAAACAACCTTTAACAACAACAATAACAAAAGTTAGGCTGGATCAGTTAGATTTCCCTCTACAGAATGTAGAATTAGGAAACTGGAAAACTGAGAACTTACAAAGAAAGCTTGTGGGCCAGCAGGTGGCATGGTGGTTAAAGCTCTGGCTCCCATAAGGCCAACTCTGTGGTTTGAGTCCTGACCCAGCGTGACTGACTGACGGCGTGGTTCAAGTCCCAGACCTGGCAGCTCGAAAGGCACAGGCGAATGTGCGTGCATGTCCAAAATCCTGAGAGGAGGATGGAGGAGGAGGTACTACAGTGTGACCATCCCCCCTCAGAGGTGATTTCTCACTTCCTGTCTGTCTCTCTCTCTGTTTCTCTGGCGAGTGCTTATGCCCTATGGCAAAAACGAAAAAGAAAATGAAAACTTGTGATGCAGAAAAGGGCCAGTGCTGGTAGGGCTGAGGAAGTTGGGAGCATGACAAAGAGGTAGCAGCCATAACAAGCCATGGCAAAACAAGGTGAGGAAGGAGGAAAGCAGAAGAAAGAAGAGCAGGCAGCAGGCAGGGCAGATGGAGCAGACGAGACCCAGAGAGACTCAGAGCAGCAATGGCGCTGCCTCAGTTCCCAAGATTTCCGATTCCTGGCCACACATACCCTGTCAACAAACCTCCCCTTCTCTAGTATCCTGAATGAGCCTCTGTCCTCTGCCTCCTCTCGCATAAATATGTTCAACCCAAACAAGGAGAACAGAGGCCAGGAAGCTGCTGCTGCCCCAGGTGAGCTCCCCATTTACTATCCCTCTCAAGTATCTTACTTTGCTGTTTCTCCTTCCAGCAACTTGTCTGGATGTAATCGATGTAATCCTTCTCAATTGTCTTCTCTAGGTCACGCAGAGAAGCTCCTCTGTAGGCCTTGTCAAAATGTTTGTCCACAAAGTAAGGCACCTGCAGGTTCTGGGTCTCTCTGGAAATGGTGTAGCCCAAGGTCCTAAAACAAGGAAGAGGTGCAGGAGAGCTTGTAATATTTGGAAACACTACTCTTAGCACTGGCCTCATGAAATTGCTCTTTATGGAGCAGGAGCAGAAGCTAATAGAATTTTCTTTATTATTATTATTATTTTATAAAAATTTGCCAGAGAGCATGCACACCCACTGGAGAGAGACAGAGAGAGAGAGAGAGAGAGATCGCCCCCATGGATCATGGTCATGCTGCAATCTCTTCTCTTCCATTTCTCCCTCCTTTCGGGATTTTGGGTAAGCACACATATATTCTTGCCATGCTTTTCAAGCTGCTGTTTCCAGTACTCAAACCACGAGGTCAGGGGCCAGCAAGTGGTATGGTGTTTAAAGGTGCTAGACTTCCACATGGTTTGAGTCCCGGACCTGGTGGCTGGCTTTCTCATTTTCCCTCTATCTGCTTCTCCCTGGTCAACAAAAAAATCCCCCACAAAACCATGAGGTCGGCTATGTGGGATCCAGCTGCCTGAATCACCATGCCATCAACTGGCCCAGATATCATTTTCTTTTTTAAAAATTATTTAATTTAATTTTATTTATTCATTCGTTTATTTTAATTTGAACACAGAGAGAGAGAGAGAGAGGGAGAGAGGGAGAGAGAGAAAGTGAGAAAGCAAGCCTCCAGGTCTAGGACTTGAACCATGGCCAGCCATGTGGGAGTGTCCAGCACCTTAACCACCAAACCACCTGCTGGTCCCTCGTTCTTTTTTAAAAAAGTATTTAATTTTATTTATTCATCCAGATATCATTTTCTAATACACCCAACATTTATCTCCCTAACCATGATCAATATTACACAAGTATATGCATACTGTGAGTTCAGCCTCAGCATATATACTTTATTCTCTTTTTTTAGAGGTTTTTGCCTTAGGGTACGGAGAGAGAGAGAGAGAGAGAGACAAAGACAGTGAGAGAGAAATTGAGAAATCCCCACCCCCTGCCACCCAAGGTCACAATCATTCCTCTTCCATTCTCCTCCCAGGATCATGACCACATTTGCACTCATAGCTGCTGTGATTTTCAAGCCACCAGGTCCGGGACTTGAACTGCAGTTGGCTATGTGGGAGAACAACGATGTAACCACTCCGCCATTTGCTGGCCCCGCAATTTATTTTCTTAAAGGGTTCATCTCTTTCATACTGCACTCTGTGCTAAAAGTATTGGGTCATTGGGAAAATCATGACGTATTTTTCTATGCAAAAATACATCATGACTTTCCTGACTACAACCTAATAGAATGATGAATGCTTAAGAAAACTGTTTGGATGCCATGTAGGACCTTGCATGGTACCTGACAGAACACTGGTAAATACTACTTGAATGAACTGCTAATGTTACAGCAAACCATGAAAATCTGATAGCTTGCACAAACCTAGAACCAAGTTTTAGGACATAAGTATTTCACACACGGTGAAGTGACAACTGCAAGACACTAAGACAAAGAATTTTGGGAACCAGTAGTTAGCGTAATAGCTATGTCGCTGGACTCCCACGTAGTCAACCGCGGTTCGCGTCCCGGACCCGGTGGCTTAAAACTTACGCCAGGCGCATGTGTGTGTGTGTCCAAGATCCCGAGAGGAGAATGGAGGAGAAGGGATTGTGGCGTGACCATCCCCCCTGGGGGGAGATTTCTCGCTTTCTGTCTCTCTGTTTCTCTCTGTCTGTCTGGCAAGTGCACGCACCCTATAGTGAAAACCTCTCCAAAAAAAAAAAACATAAAAAAAAAAAAGAGTTTTAGCAGTTAGCGTAATGGCTATATCGCTGGACTCCCACGTAGTTGACCGCGGTTCGCGTCCCAGACCTGGTGGCGTAAAACTCACGCCAGGTGCATGCGCGTGCATGCCCAAGATCCCAAGAGGAGAATGGAGGAGAAGGGATTGCGATGTGGGCCATCCCCCCTGGGGGGTGATTTCTTGCTTTCTGTCTCTCTGTCTCTGTCTGTCTGGCGCCAATGCCCTAAAAAAAAAAAAAAAAAAAAAAAAAGAAGTCTGGGTTGACCAAATGCTAACCATAAGAGGGAAGGGAGCTCAAATTCAAGCTGCAGCAGCATGGCTGTAGCACAATACTCTACAATGCAGGAAGCCATATGGAGCACCAGGGTTCAGTTCCTGGGTCCATGCGTACACACTGGGCACATGTGCCTATAATCCTAGCTGACTGAGAAAGGCTCTGGGGTGGGGGTTGCAGTTGAAACCCTGTTAAGGGTATTTGTCTTCCTCTCTCTTTCTCTCTCTCATAAAATGAACTTATAAATTCAAGTTAAATCAAAGTGACAGGGGGGCTGGCAGGTGGTGTGGTGGTTAAGGTTAAGGACGCTGGACTCCTACGTGGCTGACTGCAGTTTGTGTCCTAGACCTGGTAGCTTGCTTTCTCACTTTCCCTCTCTCTCTCACTCTGTCCCTCTCTGATAAAAAAACAAAAAAACAAAAAAAACAAAAAAAAAAAAAACCCGGTAAATAAATAAAGTTAAATAAAATAATTCTTAAAAAACAACAACAAAGTGACAGTAGTGTGCAAAATTTAAGCTTATTTATAGTTAAACTGGACAAATTCTGTTTCAAAGGAACTTGGCCTTTCTCCAGTCCACTCTTTTAATTTCTCTACTTAGAGAATCTTCCCAAATGTCTAAGAGCTCAAGTCCACACTGCTCCTACCTCTCGCTGAGAGGGAATTAGGAGAACAGGTCCCTGTATGTGCTAATGGCCTGACAAGAAAGGAGATCGAGGTAACAAATGGAAAAACATGGGAAGTTGGGAAATCAGGCCAGCGTGACCTGAGGGCAGCAACCTCTCGCTGAGTCTCAGCTTCGCTCTTTAACAGGCCCAGCTGCAGTGGCACAGCCCTAGCACAGCGTTCTGCAGCAATTGACCAAGAATGACGGTCTCCAGTCCACAGTGGTGACCAACAAAGGCTCTTCCTGCTGTGTAGTGACCCTCAGATACCACTTTTTAAAGATTTTTATCCATTAAACTACAATAATAATTCAGTGCTCATGATTTTAAAAAATTCATTAATCTCGTGATTAATTAGTGTGGGCCAGAATTATCTGGAGGGCTAGTTAAAAGATTTTTTCACCAGCAGGTGGCATAGCCCTCATGTCGTTGGACTCCCACATGGCCAACCACAGTTCGAGTCTCAGACCTGGTGGTTTGAAAGTCAAGCCAGGCACATGTATATGCAAGTGTAAGATCTTGGGAGGAGAAGGGATTGCAGCGTGACCACTCCCCCAGGGGGTTGATTTCTTGCTTTCCCACCCACTGTGTCTCTCTCTCTCTCTCTCTGGTGAGCACACACACCCTGATGCAAAAACCTCTAAAAGAAAAAGATTTCTAGTCTCTACTCCAGAGTTTCTGATAACATAGATGCAGAGGAAGACCCAGAAGTTGTGTTTCTTTCTTCTTCTTTTTTTTTTTTTCCTATAGGGCACATGTGCTCACTGGAGACAGAGACAGAGAGAGAGGGAAAGTGAGAAATCATCATTAGAGGATTGGTCACACTAAAATCTCTTCTCCTCCATTCTCCTCTTGGTATTTTGGGCAAACATGTACATGCACCTCATGTGATTTTTCAAGTCACTGGGTCCAGGACTCAAATCAGTTGACCATGTGAGTTCCAGTGCCTCAACCGCCATGCCACCTGGCCAGCCAAGTGTGCAGTTTGAACATGTTGCCAAGTGATGTTGATGATGCTGGTCTGGGGACCAGACTTTGAGCACTAGGTAATTTGAAATAATTAATTGAATAAAACCCTTTCAGAATGTATAACCTATATACTATAACAAGCATTACGACTAATTTCTATATTTTCAATAAAAGCAAAGAAATGTAATATTATCATTTTACTATGTAGCCTTATTATGAATAAATATTCCCTTCTTGCCATTTTTAAAACTGAAAATAATGACTGGATCCCAATTACAATGCTCCCAGTCCCACAGGGGTCCAGTTATACTATCACGAGCTCAACGAGGTCCTTTCTAACTCTAGCATTGTGTGATAAGGAGTCAGTCTGAACCCAAGTGATTCTATTCCTCCTGCATAACCCGGTTATTGCTGTTCTCCAGCTGACCAGATGATGTCACTGTAGACAAAACAACCCATCTCCTGAGGGCACAGGCGCCTGCTTGGAGTGGTTTCCAGGCTGCGCTGTCACTACCCAGCTGCTCCTTAAACATGAAAATCAGTGTTTTCTACAGTGAAAGGTGAGAGGAAATGTTAACAGTGTGGTGGTAAAACCTTCAAGTCTTTCACCCTCCAGATTGTTATTAAGAAAGATTTGTAAACATTTGACTTACGATTTATAGAACAGACTATATGGGGGATTCACAGCCAGCAGCTGAGTAATGACTGATATGATCACAATCACAAGAACTGGAAGTAACTGAATAAATGCAGAATATGTAGTCTGAAAAAGAAAAAAAATGTTGCGTGTAAGCATTCCTCATCAACATAAAGGTTATTAGAAACAAGATAGCTTTAGGATCACTCCCATAGCCTAATGTTTAAGGGAGTTAAATCCTATGTGGCTGAACTTGGTTTGAATCCTGGCCCTGGTGGCCTGAAAACTCTGGATGCATGTGCATTCCCTAAATCCCAACAGGACAGAGAAGGGGAAGGAAAAGGCCTGAGGCATGACGATGCCCTACTGGGAGCACTTTTCCCTGTCTTTCTTTCTGTGTTGCTCTCTAGTGAGTGCATGTGCCCTTCAGCAATTGAAAGAAAAGAAAGAAAGAGAGAGAGAAAGAGGGAAAGAAAGAAAGAAAGAAAGGAAGGAAGGAAGGAAGAGAAAGGAAGGAAGGAAGAGAGAGAGAGAGAAAGAAAATAGGACAGTTTTTCCAAAGAAAATACAGAAAATAATTATCAGTGCACTGCACTGAAGGTTCACACAGCCCAAGGCTGCGAAGGCAGTACTTGCAGCTGAGAAGTACCAACAGCCCTTACTCTCTGCATTAAGAAGGCTGAAGGAGGCCCACCCACGACCTGGATTCACACCCAGCAATGCTCATTCAATCCCCTTTCTTTCTTTAAAAAAAAAATTAAAACATTTTTTTTGTTTGTTTGTTGTGATTTTCAAGCTGCCCAGTCCAGGATACAACCTGTTGTCAGCCACGTGGGAATCCAGTGTCCACCATGCCACCTACCGGCTCCCTGCAATTCTCGGTCTGAGACCATTGAAGCAGACACCTTGACTGAGTCTGTACAGACTGTGCCTCTCATGGATGGGGTCTAGGAGCCCCATTAGCAGTATGCAGCTGGATGGGGGAGACATCTAACTCCTCCAGGAAGAATGCCATTCTCCATTTGGAGGATTTGGAGTTGAGATTCACACCTCCCACTACTAGGCTTTCATTCAAGAAAGGAGACAAACGCTCAGGCGCACTGGGCTAGCCTTTTGCCAGGGGAAGACTGAAAGGCCGGGCTACTTAGAACATAACAGGCAGAGTTGGGGGGGAAAGAGCACACAGTCCGGTCCCAAACAGTCAGGGCCAGCACAGCTGCCTGGGCGCCTGAGAGCACCCCGGGCACGAGACTCCAGTGATCCGTCAGCAGAAAACCCCTTTCATTCTGAACATTTTGAAGGGCGTTTCTATTTTCTGCAGTCAAGAAAACTTTGATCAAGACAGTCCCACAAGGAAACTGAGATTCTGAGACAGTCAGCAAAGAATGGGCTAGAGTTGGGGGGGACCATTCTGCCTTATTTGGGTCCGTTAGTCAGCTCTTCCTACCATGTGCTTCCCTAAAGCGTATTTTAGCAAATTTCATGTTAAACTTTTCCTTTGGTTTTACTTATTAGAGTGCATATGTGCTCACCAAAGAGATATGAAGATGAGAGGAGGAAACACTCCCCCCCCAATGGGGCATGGTCATTCATTCATTCATTCATTCATTCTCCTTCATTTCTTCATCCTGTCCAGATTTTGGGCACTCATGCACACACACCCAGTGTGTTTCTCTAGCTTTAGGACTGGAATTTGAACTGTGGTCAGCACTATGATACCCAGCTTCCCTGAACTACCAGGCCATGGGGCCAGCCCTCAAGTTAAACTTCTAAACCTGATTGTCTAAGATAAAGGTGGGCTCGCTCCATTCTTACTCTATCCATTAAGAAGGCTGAAGGAGGCCCACCCACGACTTGCATTCACACCCAGCAATGCTCATTCAATCCCCTTTCTCTAAAAAATAAAAAATAAATAAAACATTTGTTTGTTTGTTGTGATTTTCAAACCGAACAACTGTTTCTGAGCAGCAGCTCTCGTCCCCACCCTAGGCACCTGGGGTTTGTCTTCTTCCTCCTCTTTCCTTGTCTGTGTCCTCTCGTGTCGGTGACGTCGGCGGTAATAGTGAGCGTCATCTGTTACATTTGAAAACATATGAATGTTTCCTGAAAAAGAAAGAAAATAAGTACTTAGTAGGAGATATGGCAAACACTCCTTCCTTGCCTTTTTCAAGGTCTTTGCTCCAAACTATTGATGGATTACATGAGAATACAGGAGTGGCCTATTTTATTAAATAGCAAATAAGACAACAGGGGCAGGGGTGCCAACAAGTGGTGCAGAAGTTAATACAGCCGAAGCACACGAGTGACTGAGCAGTTAGAGACCCAGACGTGGAGGCTTGAAAAACAGGCTGGGGGGGCCAGCAGATGGCGTGGTGGTTGGGGGCACTGGACTCCCACATGGCTGACCACAGTTCGGGTCCAGGACCTGGTGGCTTGCTTTCTCACTTTCCCTCTCTTTCTCTTTCTCTGTCCCTCTCAAGAAAGAAAGAAAGAGAGAGAAAGAGAGAGGAGGGAAGGAGGAAGGAAGGAAGGAAGTTAAATTTAAAAAAATAATAAAAGGAAAAAAAGAATAAACAGGCTGGGAACATGAGTGTGTGTGTCCAAAATTCTGAAAGGAAAATGGAGGGGAAGGGATTATGGCGTGGTCATCGCCCCTGGAGGGGGGTTTCTCCCATTTCTTTCTGTCTCTCTCTGGCGAATACACTTGCCCTATAGCTAGTAGGTAAGCCAAGTGAATCAAGTGAAATGTGCTAAGTTCTCCAGACTTCATTTTTTTTTTTTTTAGCCATTATGCCAACTGCTGGTCCCCCAGACTTCATTTAAATACTCATTTGCAGGGACCAGCAAATGGCATAATGGCTATGTCTCTGGACTCCCATGTAGTCAGCTATGGTTCAAGTCCTGAACCCAGAGGCTTAAAACTCACACTAGGCACATGTGCGTGCATGCCCAAAATCCCAAAAGGAGAATAGAGAAGGAATTGCAGCGTGGTCATCTTCTCTTAGGAGTGATTTCTCACTTTCTGTCTCTCTGGTGAGCGCATGTGCCCTATAGCAAAAATCTCTCTTAAAAAAAAAAAAAATATCCTGAGAAGAGAATGGAGGAGAATGGATTGCAGTGTGGCCATCCCCCTGGGGGATGATTTCTCACTTTCTGGCCCTCTGTCTCTCTCTCTGGCTCTCTGGTGAGTGCATGTGCCTTACAGCAAAAATCTCTCCTAAAAAGGAAGAAATACTCATTTGCAACAAGAGAACCCTAAAAGACTAGGAGAGAAGGAACATTTGGGACATGAATCCTATTTGGTATGCTTGTATCTGTTTCCGTGCCTGAACTGTCACTGTTATCGTTTTTTATTATATTTTTAATTTATAGGGCATGCGGATTTTGCAGAGGGAGAGAGAAAAAATGAGAAATCCCCCCCCACACAGCCAGTGGGATAAGTGGGATAATAATGCTGCAATTCCTTCTCCATTCTCCTTTTGGCCGCACATGCGCATGCACCTGGCATGTTTTTGAAGCCACCAGATCTAGGACTTAAACCATGCTGTTGGCCATGTGGCATCCAGTGCCTTAACCACCACATCACCAGCGGGACTGCCACTATTATCTTCAATAACAATTCATAAAATTCAGTTTACTTCCTGGGCATCGAATTATCCCAACTTTCCACTCTCTAGGGTTACTTTTCACTTTATAGCTGCTATTTTGCAATAATGATAATAACAATAGGCATTTTCTACATTTATTACTTTATTTTAAAGAATTATTTTATTTAACTTTATTTATTTATTTATTTTAATTTGACCAGAGAGGGATAGAATGAAAGAGAGACAGAGAAGGAAAGTAAGAAAGCAAGCAGCCAGGTCTGGGACTCAAACCGCAGTTGGCCATAGTGGGAGTCTAGCACCCTTAACCACCATGCCACCTGCCAGCCCAATTTATTTATTTATTTTTAAAAGGTTTATTTACCTGGAGCCGGCAGGTGGTCTATTGGTTAAAGGCACTGGACTCCCACATGGCTGACTGTGGTTCAAGTCCTGTACCTGGCGGCTTGCTTTCTCACTTTCTCACTCTCTCTCTCTCTTTCTCTATGTCCCTCTCTGGTCAAAATAAGTAAATAAATAAATAAAGTTAAATAAAATAATTTTAAAAACAAAAAAAGAAGACTTATTTACTTAATTTTTATTTATTATTATTATCGTTCAATTTGACAGAGAGAAAGAAACAGAAAGCAAGCTACCAGGTTTGGGACTCAAACTGCAGTCAGCCATGTGGGAGGTCAGCATCTTAACTACTCTGCCACCTGCTGGCCCCCTTTTTATACTTTTTTTTTTT